TTATAGAACCCAAGGAAGAGACCCACCTGGGCTTATAGAGGACATGACTGTAGGTCCCTGAATGATAGAGAAGTCACTCTGGTGTCCTGCTGGGGAGATTGCTGGAGCTCTACACTCTGGAACTTTCCAAAAACCTATCCTCTAGGAAGTGACAGTATTCATGGGAAGTATCTTTTTTTTGGGGGGGGGTGGTTGCTATAGGCTGCATGCACTCGCCAGAAAGACACAGAGAGACAGAGAGACAGAAAGTGAGAAATCACCCCCCCCAGGGGAGATAGCCACGCTGCAGTCTCTTCTCCTCCATTCTCCCCTCGGGATCTTGTGCATGCACGTACACACTCCCAGCGTTATTTTAAGCTGCTGGATCCAGGACTCAAACTGCGGACGACTACGTGGGAGTCCAGTGACATAGCCATTACGCTAACTGCTGGTCCCCATGAGAAGTATCTTACCAGAGACACTCTGCTACAAAACTACCTGTGACAGGGGAAACCTAGTGACCAGTAGCTACTGGTGTGCTGTTGACCGTCAGGTATCACAGGATCTGGACACTGGGTGCTGTTGGCCGTCAGGTATCACAGGATCTGGACACTGGGTGCTGTTGGCCATCAGGTATCACAGGATCTGGACACTGTAGAACAGGAACCTGCTGAGTGAACACATCACAACCAGGAGGAAAACCTTCTTACATTGTTTCTTCAGTGCCCTTTTCTGAAAAAGTTTAGTATCATGCAAACTAGCAAAGGAAACATAATTGAGGGGAACAGATTCAATTTCATGAATAGGAAGGGTGCATTTGGGAGACCAGATGGTAGCAAGTGGGAAAAGGCAAGCCTCTGCAAGGTCGACCCTCACAGGAAGGTTCTGGTTCACATCCAGAGACCTCTCTGAGTACACAGGGCATATCACCATCATAATCTGTGGCTGAGGGGGGCTGGGACAGATGACAGCATCAAGACCCTATTGAGGCTGCTGTTTTTCTGTCTCTCTCACCAGTGGAAGAAATAAATAAGTAAAAAATTTTAAAGGGTGAGTTTGGACCTGGAAAGTCATAAATTAACAATTTACAAAGTCTATAAAACAGAGTTGTATATGGAAGACTTAGGGAGTAAAACTAATTTGTTTTTGTTTGTTTGTTTGTTTATTTTTAGCTACCTACTCGCTCTAATATAAAAACTGATATTACAATTGGGTTGTTAGTAAAGTCATGACCTGTTTTTATATTTTTCTATGCAAAAAATGCATCATGACTTTTCAGATGGCTCAATATTAAATGAGAAGAAATGTTTGATCAAATATTCATTACATCATAGTTCCCAAAGAGAAAAATAAATAAAAATATGACTGTGTATGTATATGTGAACTACTTGTATATCTATATAGCTACACATAGCTGTACCTAGCACACGTAGCTTCCTGGAATAAGCAGTCGCCAACAAAGCTTTCATGGGCATATCTGTCCTTTTTTTCTAATACTAATTTTACTGTTTAGATTTTCAAATGAACTTAAGTGAAATAATGTTATAATTAAAGATAGTTTCTGTTACTTTGCCTTTTTTGTCTTTTTTCCTTCTTGACCAACTATCCGCACTCTATGGTAGAGAGTGAAATATGGTAGGACATAAAAGCACTGAAAGTACTTAGTGAGAATAAGACAGTGTGGAATGGGGGTAGGGGGTGAAGAGAAGAGGATAGAGAAAGATAGCAAGAGAACAAATAGAGAGGCAGGACGTTAGTGGGAAACGGATGTGGCTTATTACCTGTTGATGATGACATGTATAGTATTCTCAACTGGATTGGTCTGAGAAGTATTTCATGATGGGTAAAGTCTTTTTACAAGCAAAATGAGAAATAGTGATTGACTGTTAAAAAATAATTAGAATAATAATAATAATAATGATTGGGAAAAATATTGAAAAGATATTGAATGATGAAGTGGGGAGATTAATGTCTCTGTATTGACTGACATGCATGGCATTCCCTTTTGATAAAGCAATGTAATACACTGTTAAGTTATATGCAATCCAATGTAATATAAACAAGATTATGATGATAATAAAAAATAATAATAATTAAAAAAAGAAGAAATAAAGCTACCAACCCTGTATCAATGTCTCTTCCCTTACTGAAAAGTTATAGAATTTAAATCTGAAAACCATTATAGCCAACAAAGAAATCATAAATATAAATTATGGTAAGTCACTGTAATAATCTTTTGTGAAATGTATAGAAAGCTTTGGGACCAGCAGTTAGCATAATGGCTATGTCGCTGCACTCCCACATAGTCGACCGCAGTTCAAGTCCCAGACCTGGCGGCTTAAACTCATGCCAGGCGCATGTACGTGCGTGCCCAAGATCCCGAGAGGAGAATGGAGGAGAAGGGATTGCGGCGTGGCCATCCCTCCTGGGGGGGGTGATTTCTTGCTTTCTGTCTCTCTATCTCTGTCTTTTTGGCAAGCGCACATGCCCTATATCAAAAACCTCTCCAAAAAAAAAAATGTACAGAAAGTTTTGCATTTAGAAACTTAAAAAGTTGTTACACAGTGCTCAACAACAAAGACATATGGGTTTTTATGAACAGAACTTTATATGTAGGACTGTGTATTTTACATTGATTGTCTCTGCTGAAATGTACAAGTAATAGGTATTATAATCTCTGTTTCCAGATGCCAAATATCAGATGGAGTTAAGTCATTTTTCAGAGTCCTGTAATTAGTAAATAGCAGAGCCAAGATTGAAGTAGGAGTCTGACTGACTCCAGCATGTTCTGGGATTTAAATCCATGTCTCCCTTCAAAACCCTCCAATGTCTAGGGAAAAAAACTGAACTAAGGGTTAGAAAGTGGGATTTTCAAAAAATAAAAAGACCAGATTATCATACACATGTATATTTCATATATATTTCCTATAGAAAGGAAATGTAGAAGGGAACTTTATAAAATACTTTCAAATTTTAAGGAATAGAATGTAAAACTCAGTAACTAGTTTCTGTTTCTACCAAAGCAAATGTAAGTGCTATAGAGTATACCAGTTCAAGGAGAAGAGGTATTTATATGTTGTTAATATATATTAGTATATGGGGAAAGGAATGTTTGTTGCATATAATAAGATATCCAGATAGGTATTGGTGTTAAGATTGTTTTGGGGACCAGCAGGTGACATGGTGGTTAAGGCACTGACTTGCACATGGCCAACTGAGGTTTGAGTCCCAGTCCTCATGACTTGAAACTCACACTGGGCACATGTGTTTCTGTGCCCAATATCCCAAGAGGAGAATGGAGAAGAAGGGATTGCAGCATGGCCTCCCCTCTTAGGGGAGAGTTCTTGCTTGCTGACTCTGTCTCTCTCTCTCTGTCTCTGTCTAACCAGTGAACACATGTGCCCTATAGTAATAATCTCTCCAAAAAAGGATTGTTTTAATAGTTTAATATCAAGGCCAACCTTGCTGCAATTCCCTTGGCCTTCCTCTCATAGTTATATAATTGCTGCTATGATTTCAGCCATCACATCTCCATTCAGGCAAAAAGGGGGGAAGGGTGTGCCAGCTACATGTGACTTGTTTCATCAGTCTTTCTGAAATGTCCTGCACTGCCTTTGGCTTTGTCCTCATTATCCAGTACTGGGTCAAATGTCCTTCCCCAAAGTTGTAAAGGAATTTGGGGAAGCAGGAATAACATTTTCATGGTTGACTTAACCATGAATCAGCCAGACTGTGACCCCACAGTCAAATTCAGTCCACCCCTGCTATAAAGTTTTTCTTTTCTTCCCCACCCCCACACTTTTTTGTTTGTTTGGTTTTTGTTAGTTTGCTATAGGGCTCATGTGTTTGCAGGAGAAAGCGGGGGTGGGGGGTGGGGGGGAGTGAGAAATCACCCTCCAGGGAGGATAGCCATGCCACAATCCTTTGTCTTTAATTCTCTTCTTGGGATTGTGGGCAGGCATGCACACATTCCAGGTGCGTTTTTCTTCTCTTTTTTGGAGAGATTTTTGCTATAAGGCACATGCACTTGCCAGAGAGAGGGAGAAAGTAAGAAATCATCAGGAGGATGACCATGCCACAGTCACTTCTCCTTCATTCTCATTTCAGAATTTTGGGTACAAATGCATACATGCCCAGTATGAATTTTAAGCCCCTGAGTCCAGGACTCAGACCACGATTGGCCATGTGGGAGTTCAGCACCTTAACCACTACACTACCTACTGGCCCCTCCAGGAGTGTTTCTCGGGCCTCAGGGCTGGGGACTTGAATTGTGCCATGTGGGATCCAGCCACCTTAACCTCCACACCATCTGCTGGCCTGTAAATAGAGTTTTATTGGAACACAGCCATACACATTTATTTACACATTGTCTATGGCTGCTTTTGCACTACAACAGCAAAATTAAGTACAGTAGTTATAACAGAGACCATATGGCATTCCAAGCCCAAGAATATTTACTCTGGCCTTTTACAGAAAACGTTTGCTGACCCCTGACTTAGACCAATTATGATCCATTGCCTGGGGCTGACCATATGGACACTTCGGGAATAACTGGGCTTCTGCTAAGCAAAGAAAAAAGTGGAGAAGTATTGAAAATATTGGGGGGAGGGGAGAAACACTAACAGTAAATGTTACAAGTGGTCACTGGGTCCAATTAATTATATATAAGACCCAAAAGCGATAATATATTTAAGTCACATGGTTACCTGAAACATATACTGCTTCTATTCTGCCATTTCCTCCTGAGCCAACTAAGACAAATTACAAAGACAGAAATTTTGCAAATATATATTTGGTTGTCAGAAGAGACATGACCCATTTTTGCATAGGAAAACAGAAAAATATGTCATGTTTTTGACAACCTAATAGTATCAAACAATTGACAATGTTGTGATATATCCTGAATTTAGAAAGATAATCTCTAATTTACTGACTTCTAAATAGCACCTAAGGTACTGGCAGAAAATATTATAAATACATATTTTACTGATTGACACTTCCCTTTAAACTGTTTATTTTAGGTTCTTGCATACACTGAGGGACTCCATGGAAAATGGATGTTCAGCGAGATACGAGCTGTCTTTTCAAGGCGTTATCTTCTACAAAACACTGCTTTGGAAGTATTTATGGCCAACCGAAGTAAGTCCCCTTAAATATTTCAAAAGAAATGTTGTCACATTTGGATGTTACTTATTTATATAATATGATACTGTCTTTATTTTTTTTACTTTTTAACTGCAGTTTTCTTTAACATGCTCTCACTAAAAGTTTCTTTTTTAAAAGAAATGAAAACATCTTTGTTTGAAAACAAACTAACCATAGGTTGGTTTCTCATGGATAAAGATATACAGAGAACTGATTTTTCCATGAAGATTCATTACCTTTACAAATAAATCATGATAAGCACTTGAAAATGATTTCTTAAATTTATGGTTGGTTCTGCTGTGGTTTTTCTAAATCATGTTTTTTTCCTTCTTACCACAGCCTCGGTTATGTTTAATTTCCCTGATCAAGCAACAGTAAAAAAAGTTGTGTATAGCTTGCCTCGGGTTGGAGTTGGGACCAGTTATGGTTTGCCACAAGCCAGGTAATTTCTTCATATTACACATTGTCTGTGGTTTGTTAGCATAGTTTTATCTTACTGCTATGGAAATGTACATGTGGTTATACCATTATAATTATTTCAAGGACCAAGGAGTTTTTTTTTGTTGTTGTTTTTTCTCTGCAGGTTATTTGTAAGGAAAGAGGTTATAAAAATAGCTATTTGAGAATGACAGAATGGTTAATGCAGAATTTTATTTAACACACATATGTATATGTAAAAAAACTGATTGCGTGTCAGAGCTAGCATACAATTAAGACCATTTGCTTGATAAAAATCTTGCAGGAAGCGTCAAGATTTTGTGACTAATTGCTGTGTAATAGCATATAAAATGTTTTGATTAATGCTATGTATAAATGCTTCTTTATTAAAGAAATAAAATTCCTAGAGTTTATTGACATCGATAACAATTAATCATGGTATACTTTTAACCATTTCTGAAATCTTTCATCTTGATATTTTAGAAGAATCATTTTGAAATACTATTTTATTAAAACTTTCTAAGTAAAAAACGTAGTAATTATAGGTAGTGCTAATATCAATTAGTCTGGTTTTGGCTCAAAGTAACTAGCTAAAAGTGGCTTAAACAATAGTTCTTTTCTGTGTGTGTGTGTGTGTGTGTGTGTGTGTGTGTGTGTGTGTGTGAGTGTGTGTGTATTTTAAAATAACAGACCTGGAATGAAAATTCTGTCAGTACTGGCTCAGAGTTTCAGTGGTGTGAAGACTCTGTCGGCCTCATGTTCACATCACCACCACTATTGCTCCAGATACCATCTCTTCACAAAGCTGCATTAAAAATAAGAAAAAGACAAATAACTGCTCTTTAAGCTTCTGCTTGAGGAACGAATATATTTCTCAGACTCAGCAATCTTTATGTCTACTACCTTTGGCCTGAATGGGGTGACTTTTCCACCTCTAAAATAATCACCACCAAAGGGGAGTACATTTGCTAGCATAAGCCAGTCACCCCCCCAGAATTTATGAAATAGATCCTCTAACTTCTTGCCATTCCTACCTGAACAAAAGAGAGTTCCTGTTAGAAGGAAAGAAATTTGACTTTGGGTATATAAGCGACAGCGTCCCACACAGACTGTTATGTCCCTGAGGAGTATTGCAGAGTCCTGCTTGGATAGAAAGGAAAACTAATCTTTGTCTATCTTCCCTTAAGTAGGCTACAGACATTTTAAAGACAGGGACTGTGTTTTATTTATCTTTTAATTTACAGCTTCTAGCACAGTACCTAATTGCAGAGGGGCTTTTTATGTACTGTTCAACTGGAGTTACCTTGTATTGCAATTAATCTTTTATCTTTAAGCTTACAGTGTAAGACCAATTCACTGACATGTGTACACATGCTAAGGCTATTTGCTGGTAGAATGACAAGATTAAACTAAGACAGATAATAAAGCACTTATATAAAATACAGGTCAAAGAAAAATGCATTTAATCTGTCAAAGAAAATGAAGTTAGTTTTGCAAGACTTGTTCTTTTTGAATCTAAGCTGACTCATAGTAATCGCGACTTCCTTTCCCAAGCACTTACAAATTGTTCTTTTAATCATCAGTTTAGTAATTTTTCTAGAAATTGGCCTTAAAAACTCACAAATAGGTCTTACTAAATAGGTCTAACTTTTTTCTTTTAAAGAATTATCTACCAATTCTTGGCAAGTCTTTCTGAATGACCACGATTTCTGAAAACTAATAGGGGTTTCTCAGTGGCTTGCATAATTTCCCTCAGTACTCATGGACTTGTCTGGACCTGAATTCATTTGAAATAAATAGAAGCTTCTTTACTATCTTCCTTATCCAGTATGACTACCATTTCCCTTTTAACCAATGTGCTTCTCTTTAACTATGGGAAGATAATTCTTTTTGATAGGAAAACTAGAAGCTAAATAGATGTTCAGTAGTTTTGGTTTCTCTGTTACTTTCATCAGCCATTCTGTCTTAAAACATGGTTTCATTATCCTTGGCTTTTTCTCTTCCCAAAGGCTAAACTCATTCTTAGTTACCTAATAATATTATTACAGTCTCAGGTCTAGGATATGTATAGCCTTAGAAGTAGCAGGTGAGGATTGGGGCAACACTTGAATCTAGGCACTTAGTAGCTGGGTAACACTAAGAGCCTGGCACTCAGTAGGAATTTAATAAACATTGTTTGAAAAAATGAATAACACTAGGCCAAATGAATGACATTGTCTTCTACTATGAAATGGAAACAACGCTTAGCAAAAAGACATTTACAGAATATTTTGAGAAGCTGAAATAAAGGCTCTTGGTAAACTCTAAACATATCCTTGTACAATACACATGTGTGTGTATGTACGTCACACATATATGACATAGTTTTTTAATGTTTTTCTATGCAAAAATGCATCATGACTTCTCCATTGACCTAACACATGCATGCATACATACCCATACTGATAACAGATACAATTAGGTAGTGAGGTAGAAAGATATATAAGTGTATGTTTGCATAATATTTAAGACTTATTACATTTGGAGAATTTAAAAATGGTAAGACAAGTAGAAGCACTCCAGTGAAGAATATCTTCATAGAATCCCATATAGTTTAGGATTCATTCTTTGATTTGCTTTTTTGACATTGGGATTTTGTCTAGTTAAGCAAAGTTTATAAAACTCAGGTATTTCTCCTAGCCATGAGCACCAAGAGAAAATTACTGAGTCCCTAAGGCTGGCATGAATTGAAAAGGTTTGAGAGTTTCTGCCCTAATTGGTGATCATTTCAGAAAGCCAGTAGCTATGTCATACTTTTCTAAATGCAACCAGCTTTCATTATTTCCAGATAAAGATACTGAACCTAGAAAATTTTGTAATTTGCAAAAACTATCCTGATTTATTTCCTTTAGCTATTCCTGTGTACTTTATTCTGGACCCATTCCTTCTTTCAAAGCTTGCAGTTATGTTTTATACACCAGTAGATGGGTATATGGATATAGTGTGTGCGTAAAAGCTGTGCATGTGTGCACACTCTGTGTGGCGGTGCTGTCTGAAGTTCATTCGCAGCCATTATTATACAATATAATGTTTAAGTCAAATCCTCTAAGCAGGAACCTGATTAATTACCTATCTAGCTTGTTGGCATGGAATAGATTTGCTGTACTGTTTTAAAACTACTTTAATTTATTTTGGGGGACCAGCAGTTAACATAATGGCTATGTTGCTGGACTCCCATGTAGTTGAATGTGGTTCAAGTCCTGGACCTGGTGGATTAAACTCAAGCCAGGTGCTTGTGTGTGCTTGCAAAAGATCCTGAAAGAAGAATGGAGGAGAAGGGATTGCAGCATGGCCATCCCCCCAGGGGGTGATTTCTCGCTTTCTATCTCTTTCTGTCTTTCTGGTGAGAGCACGTGCCCTATAGCAAAAATTTCTACAAAAAAAAAAAAACTATTTTATTTTGAGTAAATTTTTTAAAGGATTTTTGCTATAGTATTTTGAGTACAGTTTGAGCATTTTGTTCTTGTTGACTTAGAAAATGTGATTTGTGTCTGTATTTTTTACAAATAGGCTTGCTTTCAAATTGGTTTACCCTGAGGAATTAAAAGTATCTTTTATATAATAGAATTTTAAAATATTGCTAATTTCTATAATTCAAATATCTTATTATTGATCTAAGAACAATAAGCCATTAATGTTTTAAAGTAAGTGATATAAACCCAATATATTAGTTGTTATTGGATTTTTTTAAAGTCATGAGTTAAAAGACTGTCATGGTATGCTTAACTGCTAGGAGGATATCACTGGCCACTCCTCGACAGCTTTATAAATCTTCTAACATGACTCAGCGCTGGCAAAGAAGGGAAATTTCAAACTTCGAATATTTGATGTTTCTTAATACTATCGCAGGTAAGATGTCTCATTCTTTAATCTCATAATATGTTTATGTTCATCAAAATCATTGGTAATATGACTTGATATAATACATTTTCTCTTTGAAATTCAAATTCAGCATTAGAATAAATATTGAAGCACTCACATTAAATTTTATCAGGAACTGTACAAGCTAATACCAAGGTCTTAGATGCATTTATTGTTGAAGAGGCTTTTTCTTCCTCTCCTTCTGCCATTTCCTTTGCTGACAGCTTTGTCTGAAGGTTTATTAGAGTCAACAAACCATTGCCAGAGAATGTCTGGAAATAATAATGGGAAAATGTAATTTCACTACTTTGTCATTCTCAGCAATAGCAGCTAGACAGGAGAGTAACAATAGGATTCTGCCTAGTACAGATGTCACCTGGATTATGGCATGATTGGGTTACAGCAGCTTTTTTTTTTCCCCTTAAAATCTTCAGATAAAAATAAGATTACATTTTCTAAATGATGAGTAACTGCCATCAACCTTGGCAGTACTATACTTACAAATTAAAAGAAGGTAGTAGCTTTGTTTTTCTGCTCAATCAGTGGTTGTCAGTGGTTAAACATGTCTATGAGATTAAGTATCTTACTCTTTTTGTTAAATTAAGCTCCAAAAGCCCTCATTGATGTCAAATTACAAAGAGTGTATTTCTATAAAGCAGGCTCTACAAAAACTTTTACAATCAGATGAATTTAAATAACTACATAAATGTCGATGTTTACTTATGATTATTGTTTTCCTACGAATGAATGCTTACAATCATGAATTTAAAACAATGTTCTGCTCTGAATTATTGCTTTAAAAAGGTAAGCATATGACATTACTCTTTCTTATTCATCATACGTATATGTGGATATAGATACTACAGATATACATTAAATATGGATGATATAGGTATGTGTTAAATAGGAAAGAGAATTTTATTTGTCAATAGAAAGAGATAACATTGGGGCCAACAGGTGACGTGGTGGTTAAGGGTGATTAAGTCCCACATGGCCGACTGTGGTTCAAGTCCCGGACCTGGCAGCTTACTTTCTCACTTCTCCTCTCTCTATCTCTCTCTCTCACTCTGTCCCTCTCTTTTTGACATAGGGCATGTGCGCTCACAGGAGAGAAAAAGAGAAAAGGAAAGTGAGAAATCATCCCCCAGGGAGGCTGGCCATGTCACAGTCCCTTCTCTATGTTCCTTCTGGGATTTGGGGCATGCACACACATGTGCCCAGTGTGATTTTTCAAGCTGCCAGGTCCAGGACTCAAACCACAGGCCACCCTGTGGGAGTCCAGCATCTTAACACCACAGCACCTATTACCTTTCATTCCTTGATTTTTCATATTATAAATTTTTCATGAAGACCCCCATTCAAATATCTTTTTTTGTTGTTGTTTATAAGCCAGAGGGCACACGAGCTTGTCAAAGAGACAGAAACAGAGAGAGAAAGAGAGAGTGGGAGAAATCACAATCTGGTGGAGATGTGGTCATTCCTTCTCCTCTATTTTTTTTTTTTTGAGAGATTTTCACTGTAGGGCGTGTGTGCTCACCAGACAGACAGAGAGAGACATAGAGACAGAAAGCAAAAAATCACCCCCCAGGGGGGATGGTCACGCCGCAATCCCTTCTCCTCCATTCTCCTCTCAGGATCTTGGGCACACACGCACACACGCCCGGCGTGAGATTTAAGCCACCGGGTCCGGGACACGAACCGCGGTCGACTACGTGGGAGTCCAGCGACATAGCCATTACACTAACTGCTGGTTCCCTCCTCTATTTTGAACATAGCATATACATGCCCACCATCTGTTATAAGCAAACTGGACCAGGATTCGGGGCATAGCTGACCATGTGTGATATAGCGCCCTTAATTGCTAAGCCATGGGACTATCCCCTCCCCTCAAATATCTTAGTGACACCTATTCACTCCCTCAAAACTAAATGTTTTGTGCTATTTTTGCATGTATGTATAGAATAAACCAAAATACCTTAAACATAAAAAACGTAATTCCATTAGCGTAGTCAGGTAAATAGCATGATGTAGCAGAAAGAGCACAAACTTCAATGCCAAAGAGAAAAGAGATAAAATCCCAGATCTGCCTGATTTGTTTCCCAATGTATTTGTTGAATTTTCTAATTTAAATTCTATTTAGGACTTTTAATCTTGCAGCAACAATGTTTAATATGTTTACATCTAATAACCAATATGTTTGGTCTTCTATTACCTTGTTTGATACTATTGTTTTAAAGTTTTCTTGCTTTTCGTATTGTTTTGTTTTTCTTTGGCCATATGAACAATTTTTTTTGCCCACTTCTTGAGTAATTTTGAATGTAGGTGCCTTTTTTTATTAATTCTTCTAGAGATATATCAATATTTTTAAAAAACTTCTTAAGTGTATTTATTTTTTTGAAGTAAAAAATGAAACATTTTAAAATCACTACTATGTAAGATAAAAACTTTAGTTTAATTTTATTCCTCATTCATTTTCTTATCTTTGTAAATATAATTTACTAGCAAGAATTCATATTATTAACTTTATACTTTTTGGAGTGTCTTTTTGCATACTAAGGATTTCAAAATGTTAAAATTTTCTTTTTTGGCAAACCAGTGGTATGGAGTTAAGGTGGCTGGATCCCATATGGCCAACCAAATGGTTCAAGTCCTGAACCCAACAGCTTGAAAAACATGCCAGGCATGTGTGCCTATGTACTGAAAATCCCAAAAGACTGAAGGAGAGAAGGGATCATAGTGTGACCATTCCCCTAGGAGTGGTTTCTCACTTTCTCTTTCTTTCTTTTCTTTTCTTTCTTTCTTTTTTTTTTTTTTGAGAGGTTTTTGCTATAGGGCATGTGATGTGCTCTCCAGAAAGACAGAGACAGAGAGACAGAAAGCGAGAAATCACACCCCCAGGAAGGATGGTCATGCCACAATCCCTTTTCCTCCTTTCTCCTCTCGGGATCTTGGGCACGCACGCACATGTGCCCATCCTGAGTTTAAGCCACTAGGTCCGAGACTCGAACCACGGTGAACTACATGGGGGTCCAGCGACACAGCCTACGATTAGTATAGATAAACATTAAAGCCTGACTATTGTATGATAGGATAAAAAGAAAAATAAAATAGGGACTAGGAACTCAGAGTACTTCTAATCTAGATGGATGAATTAAATATACATAAATAGAATTTAAGACAGTTTGGTGCTGAATGATTGCTATAAATAGCAAATTCTGCAAAATCTAACCAGAAGACAGGAATTAAAAAAACATTTGGATGGGGAGAAAAAAAGAGCAAAGTTTTACAAATTTCTGATGGTTGGATATGCACAAGTGTGTTCAGTGAGTATCACATCTTGGAGGAGCAGAGAATAACAAGAGATAATATCAGAACTATATGTAAGAACCAAAGAATAAAAAGCCTGGACTTTTATGAGCCAGTATAGTTTTGTAGTCAATACAAATGTAATATATAGTTATGAGAAAATTAAGGTGATAATTAAGTATGGCATGCATCAAAATTGCAATAACTTAGAGTGTGAGGAGAATATTACAGAAATCAGGATGTAAAGTCAGTTTGCTCATTCTTTTAGTAGTTACTGAATATTGCCTATATGCCACACTTTCTATTTCATACTGAGACTATAGAAGAAGGTGAAGATTTCTACATTTGAAGAGACCAGGAAAACAGACATTTAAACTAGTTATGCTAGTAAAAAGTGGCAAGTATTGCAATGGGACATACACAAAGCCATCTGGGGTCACAGTTCTAGAAATCATTATTAAAACTAAGAGATCAGGAAAAACTTGTTAGGAACTGAAATATGAGTAAGAACTTCCTAGAAGATAAACAGAGGGTTTTGCCAAAAGAAAATGTAAGGTGAAGATTTGGATGAGCGTAGTGGTAGAGGGTATGGCAAAAAGACAAAGTAAATGACACTTTGTACAATGTCATTATCCTCAAGGTGTAAGCCACTACAATTTGTTCTCATTCAGTGATTCTCAACGTGTGGCCCTCCTCACAGGCAGCATCAGTGTCAGCTGCAGACTTGTTAGAGATGCAAATTAAGACTCCTTTTCAAACCTACCACCAAATCAAAAACTGGGTGTGGGACCCAGCAACCTGCTCTTCAGCAAGACCTCTGCATAGATCCGCTGCAGAAAGTTTGAGCACCATTGCTCTAGCCAGTTATGATCTAATTACTGCAACAAAATTCGCATGTAAAAATATTTAAACCATACAGACAATATGCAATTAGGTGCCATTAAGTTTTATAGACGTTCAGAGAAGTGTGCAATTAGTTATGAGACAGTCTACTCAAGTAAATCTTCATAGAAATGATGAACTCTTCAAGAATTTTGGCAGATGTACATGATTGTCCAGGCACAATGAACATTTCTAAGTAGAATGAAAATTTTTAAAAATTATGTTTATAAATTTGCTGAGGTTCTCTTGGACATTTATCTATCAGTATTCACTGAAGTTTGAAGGAAGAGTGCCGACTTGTACTGAGCACCAGCACAAGATTTGAGAGCTGGTTTTATAGAGAAGCTTTATTCTTGGCGAAGTGGAATATTTGTTAGAACAGCAGTTAGAATGGCCTGTTTTGCTGATTTGTGGAGAATACTGTATATCCATCCATCTCTTAAAATGCCTTCCAAACTTCTCTAAGGATTCTAGAATAAAGGGCACTCTAAAGATGATGAACCCTACCAGTATTACTTTTACTAACAGGGTTTCACTAAATAATCACATATTTTATAGCACAATTTTAGGGGTATAATTATTTGTCAATGAATACTTATTTAATTGATTGGAATTTAAGATTTATCATTTTAAAACAGCAGGGATTTTCTCTTCCTCTTCTTGACGGGAAGTGGGTAGAGAACTGCTCAAATAGCTGTATCAGACCCTGTCTTGAGGCCTGGCTGTGTGAGCACTGAGTACTCCAGGTATCTTACAGCACTACCTGCTATAAATGTCTGAGTTCCTTGTTCTTGGTCCTA